ATCCATAAGATTGTTGATGTCCTGTTTAATTTTTCCTTGTCGTCGAAACTTATTTTCATGCAACGCACTTCTGCAAGTTTCTTACCCTAATATTAAGTGTACAAGCTCTTTCGTTTCTGACTTTGTCCGAGTGGTATGATACAGTATCGTTCCTTTGATTTCTTGCATACATTACTTTTCGGTTCACACTTTGCACAAACCCTATTTTTATGAACTTTACCATGAATTTAGAGGTCGATTGATTTAAGATTATTTATTTAATGTGGTAGCATTATTTTTTGGCAAATATTTAATTTTACTACAACATACTATTGAACTTCTTCTGTCTATATTTCATCTATATCCGCTTCCTGTTTAGTATGACCCAAACAAATACTAAACAATATCACATAAATTATGTCACATGTGTGAATGTGTGAGTGTCTTAATAATATTGCACTCTTTGGCAGAAAACATGCGCTTGGCCGGCATATTTTTCGTCCTTTTTTCCAACGTATGTGTCGATGCACCACTTCAAACAAACACATATATTCTCTCACACGTGCACACATACAGAGAAACAAAGGAAATATTGTTTTTTTTTTTTTTGTGCAAATATTTTGTTTTTACAGACATACGCTAGTTAGTATTATTAAGTTGGTGGTATTGTTAAGTGGTTGGTTTATATTTGTCAATTATCATAAAAGAATTTCTTTTTAACTTTTTGTTACTGAAGTGAAAAATTCACACTTTTTTCTTTTTAAAGTTTTAAATAAATTTTGTTAAATAGTAAGTTAATTGTAAGAGAAGTTGTGATAAAAATATCAACTGAATATGCAAGATTTTCATAATTAGAATACATGCTGCCTACAACCGCAGGATATGGATGTGTGTGGGAAAATTGTTCATTGTTCTGTGTGTGTTTTTTTTAATTTTCTTGATTTCTGTTCAAGACTTAATTGAAGAATATCACGTGATTAAATATGATGTTCCAGCAAAACTTAAGGTCATCATCATTAGCGTCGTCATTATGGTATAAAATATATTACAACAATGGTGGAACTAATCTTACAGACTGTCTACTATTATCACATTCCTAACAATAGAACAACTGCGTTCACAATGAAAAAAAGCTAAAATTAAAATACTATGAACTTTGTATGTTCTAAAAATAAATGCAAATTGTGTACAAAAATAATAGGAAATAAGAAGTGAATCAAGAAGTAAATACTAGTCCCGAGGGTAGTTCTTTCCACCGACGCAACAAATACATAGTTGTCCAACAAAAAGTTAATTTTTAAAAACTTTAAGAAAATTAACTTTGTTAGAACCAAAAAGCATATTTACACAGGCCAACAAGTATACTTTTCTAAGGGATTGAGCAGCGCTGAGTCCGAAGAATTTCTTCATCATAAGAGTTTAACTCTGCTATCTTTGTTCTTCTTCTTCTTTAAGAAGGAATTTATTGGAATTTATAGTCGTTTTAAACTTTGGTTTACGATATCTCAAAGAAGAGAGAATAACAGAGAAAAATATTTATTTTAAATTCGACAGATTGGACTGGTGACGTAATATACATTGAGTTCCTCTAACTCCCACTGGATCATAGGGCGCAAAAATACCGATTCATTAGCAATTTGAGTTTCAGGTGATGTAGGTTGCTAACCCTCTTCTTAAATTGGTGAAGGGTCTGCTATCCCGCGGTGCAGCCATGATTCAGCGGTTGTTGCCTAATTTTCGGAGGCGCCGTAAGACCATTCAGGATCAGAGGGCGAAGTCGACCGGCTTCGAGTCGGCGCTTAGTCGCCGCCGAACTATATTTAGTTGCTTAAGCCGCCGCCGAAACACTCGGCTTAAGTCGACTCAAATTTTTTAATGTTTTTATTAACTAGGCTATAGACTGTAGGACCAATTATTTTTGATTCTGTAACATAATGAATTATTATTGGCCAAATTATATTTTGAAAACGTAAAAGATTTTTACAAAGGATATATGTAACAAGCGAAATTTTAATAATACTCCCGATATGTATATTATATCGGGAGTATTGAAAATATATATATATTGTATATTAATAATATACATATTTTGAAAAAAAAATATTTAAAAGATATGTTAATGTATGTCTTGTTAATTTAAATATTTTTTTTTGTTACCTAATATGGCTATACCATCTACAATTTCTTCAAAAGATTCAAGAGAGTGTAAATGAGAATTAAAGTAGACTAAAACTAGAAACTTTTTAGCCTTTTATAAAATCATTTATTATTAATATTTTAAGCAAAGTGATCCTCCCAGTCTCTAAATTTTGATATTTACATTATTTTTGAACATAAATTTAAGAGTTTAAATTTCCTTAAAAACGTTCGGCTCTTAGCCGACTTTAAGCCGCCGCCGAATTATTTTGGCTCAGCCGCCGCCGCCGACAATTTTAAGTCGACTTCGACCTCTGTTCAGGATATATGGCTGGGGCGCCATCCCCAAGTGAGTTGCATTAAGAAAACTTTCAACCTCTGTAAA